CTGGTCTACTATATTTCCCTATAGGTTTCTTCGTCGTGTCATATAGTTGTTCTATACTTCCCTCCCTTGCGGTCCAGCACATCCTGACACGTTGAAGTTAGTGATTTTCTGATCTCTTCCCAGTTGTCCTCCATAGCAGTGACTTTTTCTTCCATTAGATCCTGCAAGTCTTGAAACCAATCGTTGTGAGTTGTCATAAAGTTAGTGAGTTTGTCAATATCTCGAAGGAGGGCCGTATCGAACCTTTATAATGCTATTTCCCCAGTTGTCGAATGCTTCTTTAGATTCAGTTTCATCTTGGCAACCACCGGGTGGTGATCCAAAGATATGTGAGCTTCCTTCATGGTTCTTACGTCCTCCACTGACTTTGTGAATTTTTTACTGATGTGGTTGTGATCAATCTGGTTCTGTGTAGTGTGGTCCGCTGATACCCATGTAACTTTGTGTATGCATTTGTATGAAAATATCGGGCCGCCTATAACCATTTTGTTGGATGCGCATAGATTTGCAGATCTCTCACCATTCTCGTTCCTTTCTCCTAATCTATTTCATCCTATGATATCTTCATACTCGGTGTTTTCCATTCAGACTTTAGTGTTTATATCTCCCATCGGGATGGTCAGGTCCTTTCCTGGACACTTCGCTCTGATCGAGTATAGCCTCTTGTAGAAGTGATATTTATCGTCGTCGTTGCGTTCATTGGTTTATGCATAACATTGGATAATATTCATCGTGATTCCCTTCTTCGCTTTGAAAGATGCTTTGATGATCCTGGGTCCACGAGATTCCCATCTTATAAGTGTATTTCGTGCTCATTCAAACAGCATCAGAGCAACTCCCATAGTGTGTGGAGCATTTTTCTCTTCACAACCAAAGTACTGAAGCATCTTTCTCAATTCTAATGTTTTCTGTTCAGCTTGGGTTCAATGTGTTTCGCTGATTCCAAGAACCGCTAATTTGTATTTCATTTGCGTAGCTAATTGACTGGCCGTCCCGGTCTCTTAAGTTGTTCAAACATTCCATGCACCCATTTTAATTGTTGCTCTGGTTGTTAGAAGAGGCATCGGCCTCATGACTTTAAAAAATATCGGTTTTCACTGTGAGGCATCATAATTCTTCCTTCAACTCGGAGGACAGAGTATAAAAGTGTTAAATCGTTTAGTGCTTTTTAGCAAGGTTATATTCTACGCGATGTGATTGCCGGCCCTATGCCCAACCCTCCTCCAAAACCACGTCACAAATCACATCGTACATTAGACCAAAATACAATCATTTATATACTTAATTTTAAACACTTTATAGTAACAGATATAAGGGGAAATACATAGAGTTACTGAAAGTAAAACACTGAATATAATTTGCTTGAATTTATTCAGGGAATATAATTATCCCACTAACGAAATCTATGTTGACTTGATACAAAAAATATCGACCTGAATAATGTCATATTTTTATCCCGTCATATCAAGCAGATTTGGTCAGAGTCTAAGAAGCCTGTGTATCTATATGTATGACTCGGACTATCGCGGAACATAAGATCAAGTAGCTCACGGCTATTCTAATACAAACGGTTACATTCCAGACTCAGTAAGGACAACTGACATACACTTCAAAGACTAACTGGTCACACAGGAAAAAGGCGAAGTATAAGGGAGATTCGATATTCGGACAGAATGGTATACACAGTCGTGAACGCATGAAATTAGTTAACTAGAGATCACAACAGCCTATCAGAAAAAGGTAAAGTTTATACGGTAAACGGAATCTGCAAAACACCCCTCAAGGTTACTGTCCTTAATATGACTTTGACATTATTCACAAAAAAACTGAGTAATTTCGTGATCATTTCCCACATAATTTACATAATTTGATGGATTAGTAAATCTCGAGTGAAAATTACATCTGGTTAGTACTTACACTGTTATCTAAAATTATTTCACTTATTATTTTCACAATTTTTATTGAACATACGATCTAATTATTATGATTTGAACACTCATAAAGACAAGCGGTGAAACCATAATATATGGATGACCTTCGAGTGACGTTAAAGTGACCTTTAGAGTGTCCGCCTAGTAACTAGGATCAAATAACGGTTATAAACCAGTGTGAGGAATTAGAATTATGATTTAAAGTTGATGGTTAAGGCTAGGAGTTAGATTTAGGGTTTTCATCACGAACTGACATAAGCTATAATGCCAAAACTCTATTTAACCAAATGGATGAGTGAATTTCGCGCCGAAATTTGAGACTTGTTATTTTATACGTGATTGGTATTATAGTCTCGCCACATAAACATACATAATTTACAAATAATAGTATTCTATCGTTTTAAAAGATGTATTCATCCTAAACTTAGTTGCTTCATTTAATGATTAAATTGAATTGATAGTCGTAGAAACATACAAGAATTTATTGAATATAATGCTAGTTCTACTTATGTGCTGGGGAACAGTTTTTTTAAACAAAGGAAATGTTATTGACTTGTTTTCAAAACTTTTACGTTGTAACTGTTATTAGGGGCATATTGCTGTAAATCACCCACTAAATAAATCTTTCTGTTCAATCTCTTATTTTTAATGACTTTCATACTTAGTTGTGTTTTTTTCTATTTTGTTTATTTAATTTCCTAAGGTGAACGCCTTGCTGAATTTTTGTATACCTAAGTAGATTTATATATTTCTTTTAGACAAAGAATGAGTTAATTAATAAGACCAACATCTTACACAACTCTATAGGAAATCTGATTTCTTGCATACATTCGTAAATTGCTATATTTTAAGGTAACTGTAAGAAAAATCTGTTTTTTTTTACATTAGATTTGTAGGCATTAAAATATTTTCATTTCGGCATCAATGTTGGTATTTTAAAACATTATCTCCAAGGATTTCTGTACATTGCACCTTTAATGGACAATTCAGATTCAACGATTATTTCTATAAAAAATCTTGTGTCATTGCTTCAAGATCCCTACTAAGTCTTCTCAGCGAAATATTTCGTGATCAATCTAGGGAATACTGTTTGATTGACAACTCGTAATTTTCATTCTATAGGTGATATTTAGATGATGCTTTCAATATTTTTGATTAAACGAATGTTCCTAATAAAATACTACAGACGTTTAATATTTTCCGCTAATCGGTCACATTCACCCTATGGTCAGAGACAACCTCAGAATTTCACTTTCTTGATGTTTTATTCTAAGGAAAACCGAACGGCTCTTTACAAAGAACGGTTCATACAAACGCAATATGGGATGGGAAATATAAGAACGAGTGTTGGGTTACACCGAGTAGAAAGAGAAATTTGATACATTTCTTATCCTCGAGAATTAATAGGTCTGTACAGAGGACACAATCGGAGTAAAATAGGATGGCACTGTGATGTTTGAATGAATTAATGATACATTTGTACTTGTTGTATGCTTGATTTCTAATTCTAAATACAGTACATTCGTTTGTGGTTATCTAGTACTTCGTGATCCGATTACGTTATTTCTGGGGTTCTTAGTTCATAATATAACTCAATTACTTATAAATATTACAGGGACCCAAAAAATGTCAATGAAAAATTGATTTCCTTCAAGGTTCACTAACAGCAACCTGGAGCCTAGACGCTTAACTGAAGGAACTCGCTTACTGAGGAAGATTTTTTTTCTAGGACATTGAATTTAGAGGAGGTAATGTCTAGGAGATCTAACAAAATTAGTCTTCCAAATTCCTGAAGAAGACCTTTTATTTAGTTGGAATACGAACTGTATTCTTCAGCAGATGTGCGATACCAGGATGTGTCAAGGATAAATCGCCGCTTCGGGCCACCACACTGTATATCCATCGTTTTATTTATTCTTGCGGAGCTTGTAATACTGGTCGCTCAAAGTGTGCCTATTCCAAACCCTTTACCCAGGCACTGTCGAGCAGGGTTATAGAATGGTGAATACAAGCCAGCCACTAGCTTAACTGTTGAACATCTAGTCATCTACCTCCACCAGAACCCCCAGTAAAATTTATTCATAGAGTAGGGCGAATTGTTTCGAAGGGAAGCTGAGCAAGAAACTTATAAATAGCGTGTGCTTCGGGGATTTGTCAGCTCACAAATGATCTTTGTGTTTAAAAGATGCATATTCAATTCGTTAGTTTACCATGGTCCTAACATACGAAGTGCCATTTTGTTGATAATTTTTGAACGTGGTTGTTTTCTCTTCTTTATTTTTCCGTATTCTTCAAGTAGACAATAATTTTTTAAATATCAGTTCTATGTCTTGTTTAGACACTTATTCGCTCATATTTTTATTTTCCTAATAATCATCAAATGGGTAATCTTCTATATTTCGCTTCCATTTGTTAATTTATTTTTGTTACCCTTTGAGTGTTACGTAACTTTAAATTTTAACTGACTTTTAGTACCTCTGTTAATGACACAGTAATTCAATATTTTGTTATAGACCACTACATGTGAAAATAACTGTGAGTACGATTGAGCAACTCTAGAAAATTATATCTTCTTAGAGAAAAATTTTTCTTAATGAACGTCTCCATATATTGATATTTTTGGTAATGCTAATTACTCTTATTTAAGTCGTTTAATTGTGAAGAGTTCGTTGTAATTATGAACAAAATCATTAACACTTTTACTTGAGATAGGCAAACTTTAATGATGTCTAGAATGAGGACGAAATTTTCTTCAGTAAACTATTCAGTAAATAAAAATCAACATTTAAAAAAATCCATTTCAGCTACAAATCTCTTCTATCATTTCAATACATTAGCTTAACTAAATTTAAACAACTGATACGACCTGATCATTGAAACCACAGTATATGGTTAAAGATTTAAATCTACCTCATCAAAAGTCGAAAGTTCTATATATTAATCACAAAGTTATAACCAAGCTATGACAATTAAAAAATAGTGTTGATGTAAATTATTATATCCAAGCTCACATTGGAATGACTTATGTTATTAGGCCATATAATTTAAACAATAAATTCGCGGACAAAATGAAATTTCATTACTTATTATATTTAAGAAAAATAAAACACAATTCAAGATATTTTCTTTCCTATTACCTTCATTGAAATGATAACAACAATTTTGATAAGACTAAATTGATTATTTTATTACCGGATACACAATCAATATTTAACGGTTCATACATTGATCGTATTAACAATAATCTAATCAATAAAATAATGAATTACTGAATACTTAAACAATTACAATTTTATAATTACGATCATTATTAGTGAATATTAATCAAGATAATGAAATAAACTATAGAATAAGTAGAATGAAACATCTAAAATAAAAGGGCTGCATGAGTTTGCTTGGAAAAAAAAGAGAAAAAACAAACAATCGACGGATAATCAGAAAGAGAGCTGAAATTAAAAAGAAAAAAAAGGAAATTAATTTGTAAATTCTACGGTACATGAAATGTATATGTTAATCTTAGTCAAGGTTAAATGTTGGAAAATCTCACCTCTTTTGTTTGTTTGTTTGTTTGTTTTTCTTCTCTTCTCAAAGTAAGTAGAAAGGTATATAGATTGTAGGTAATTATTTGTAAACTATAATAATAATAATAATGATCATACATTCACAACTATAATTATCATTCAGTTAAATAGTTTCTTAATCATTCAATCTTCTCAATTGAAAAAGGAGTTGGATATATTGAGTAGACGGTTTGTCTATATTCAAATCATTTAATGTAATATATATGTTATAAATCAATTTACATGCCCAACTGATAATGAGAGTTAAGATGGGTTTTTTTTGTTGATAAAATATCCAATTTTGGACTAATCCTAATGATTTTGACAATAGATTTTGTAAACTAAACATTTTTGTTGACGGGAAATAATAATAGTTTGTTTCGTTTCAACAACAAAAAAATGGTAAAACTCACTCAATCATTTTGATAGCTTCATGTATAATTGGATATTAAATATCTTTCATAGAACTTAAATTATTATTTCTTTTTTTCAAAGTTCACCTGTTATTTATAAACAACAACAGCTTTCATGCCAGGTTCAGGAGGTGGTGCAGCTTGTTTAGCATGAGTTTCACAATACAATTGTTCTTTAATGTAGAAATAACCAATATTACGTAAACCTATTCCACATTTACAACATTTAAGGCATTCAGGATGCATTGGGATACGACCTTGTACTTTAACAAAAACACCGCGTATAAAACCTCCACATGATCCACAATACATTGATGGTGGTGTTGTTGGTGATACTTGAGGTGCTGTACCATCATGTTGATTGCCTGTAGCATTAGACAATGTTCTTTCAAATGTTTGATTTCTATTTTTTTGATTATATAAACCCATAGGTGAATTATATGATGAGTGACTGATTTTTCTATAACGTCCCTCACCGACTTTTGTTAGTACGTTTTCTCCAGGTGCCGGTGGTGATTGACCAAATGGAAGTGGTGAGATATTGTGCTTAACTCCGATAGATGATGACTCTTCATTTTTCGATGTAGCCTCTAAATTAACATGAGTTCCATATGCTTGGTGATTGTTATGATTACTATTTGGTGACATTTGAACAGATGAAACAATTTTAGGTTGCCAAATAGTTTGTCGACTAACTGGTTGTGGAGAAACTGGTTTCGGTGATCTACTTAACGAATGTTTTGGTGATGGAGAAAAATTATTTTGATGTGTATATTGATTTACAATTTCATTACGTTGAACAAACAATTCTAAATCATTACTTGATCGTATGATCTCCATTTTCGCATCATCATGTCTCATCCATTTAGTTTCAGATTGATTGATTCGTATCACATGATCACCAGCCCGAAGTCCACTGTAATCAGCTATACTTCCAGGATTCACATGTTGTATAGTTATGGAATGACCAAAGTCAGTACCACCTTCTAATCGAAAACCCCATGGAATAGATGTATCTTGACGAATTAAACGAATTGAACAATGTTGAGAAGCCATTAAAAAGAAAGTGAATCTTTATGAGAACATATAATAAATGTTTATAACATAATTTGCTATTCAGTCTCTTCTAAAGTGAATGTCTTTTACATACAGTGGACAAGGGATGAAAACACACCAAATATTTCTTAAACAATCAAAATTATCACACAGATTAACTGTGTTGTAAATGACTTAGATTGGTTCCTTATATTAAATACAATTGGCTTAAACAGATAAGTTTAGTGGGAATGATAGGATGTGGCATATACATTTGCACAGGAAACACATAACATGTTATACAAGACATGAATTGATACTGCCTAACAATTCATACTTTCTGCACTTTATTGATATTTTTTCTCTCACAGGCAAATTATTAGTTTATGCTGATGATAAAATGTATATTCATATTAGATAAAATAACCGTTTCTCATTGGGTAGAAATGAATTATTATTATTATTATTATTATTATTATTATTATTATTGAGGTACATTTAATAAAGATTAAAATTATCAGTCAAACTGAAGGGTACACTGGGAACAAATTGTTTATGTGACAGTCAACAAGAAATTAGTTATTATTTTAAAATTGATGAATTATGGCTAACAGTGGGACTCAGGAAGAGGATTTCATTCTGTTTAGGACTCCCAAGATGGATGTACCTGAATCATATTGTTAAAGTTTACACGAAGACTCAGACCTAGAGCTTATCGCTTTAAACGTCAATGTGCTATCCGATAAGTTGGTGAGTTTAGATAGGCACTAGTTAGTTTATGGGTCCCAAACGGAACATAACATAAGTCCTGGATTCGGTTACTAACTGATATTTATCTGTTTTAAAAAGCTAATGATAAAGTGGCTATATTGAAGCAACTCTCACGGGATCACCATCAGTGGTATACAGGAGGCTCTTTTCATTCCATTTAGAACTTATAAAACAAGCGTACCTGTGTCTTCGAGTTGATGTTCATACTGAAACTCTAATACAGAACTCTTCAATCCGAAATGCAGCGAATTATCTTGAGGAGAACAAAAACAAAGACTGATGCAGAATAATATAAATTCATTTTATTTTCAGAAGGGGTTTGGTGGATATTATAGTAATTTTAATAGTTGAGGTCATGAGTCACTTGAAGCTAGATCACCATGGGAAACCTGAAAGCACTGGGTGGCCATTTCGTCCTGTTGTGGGACTCCTCAGCAGTGCTCATCCACCATCCGGCCTCGCGAGATCCGAACCCAAGACCTATCACTGGAGTTCAACCGGGTCTGTGAAGTAGTAACTCACTGAAGACAATGGTGGGTGTGTCGCTCAATTTCGTGGATTATTTGAAGTTAGGCATTAATACCGTTGGATGCCAGTTCAGTGGTCTAATGGTTAAGCGCTCGCGCACGAGACTGATAGGTCCTGGGTTTGAATCTCGCGAGACGGGACAGTGAATGAGCACTGCTAAGGAGTCCCACAACAGGACGAAACGACCATCCAATGCTTCCAGGTTTTCCATGGTGGTCTAGCTTCAAGTGACTCATGATCTCAACTATTAAAATAATTTTATTTTGTTAGGTCCTCATCAGCTGCATACAACCTATAATATTTCAAAATCAGTTATTATGAATATGTCAATATTCATAAATACGGTGATGAGTGATGAATATGTATATCATGATGTAGCGAAGATTCCAATAGAGTCATTAAGGTCATAACAATTTTTTATCTCAGATAAAGAAATAAAGTGTGGGATGGAAAGTTCCAGAACATCGAACTAGTGATTAGAACTTACAGAGTTAACAAACATTAGATGATTGTGTAATGAAGGAAATGAAAACAGATTAATGGCAATAAAGAAAGATATATTATAAAATTACTGAATTTAATGAATTGTATTGTTCATTACTTCAACTCTTTCTTAACGTTTGATTACATCATTGTCATTTTTCTTTCATTCATATTTTTCATTCTAATTAACTTGTGTTCTAGTTTATCGTTTGTACATTGACTGTTCAGATATTTCTTTCTGATTTTTTACAATAAAAACAAGTTTTTGATTTTATTTTCATTTATTTATGCCTGATACCCCTCGTAGAGCATAGACCGCCGACTAGGTTAATAAGGAACAAATAATCAGATTCTAAATCTTCATTGTCTAACGCTGTCCCAGTTAGAAGTGGTGTAATACAAGGTAGTGTCTTAGGTCCTTTGCTCTTTTTAGTGTTTATCAATTATATTTGTGAAAGTTTTTGTGTGGGTAAGTCCCTTCTATATGCAGATGATCTTAAAGTAGTATATTCATTTTCTCCACATGAGCTGAAAAAATATGCAAAATTACATCAGCATGGAGCTTAACAAGGTAGCACAGTGGTGCTTAACATGGCAACTGGAGCTTAATACGGCTAAATTTGGATAGATATGCTTCGGCGATACATCATTCAACCTAGACATTACCATAAATGGAGAAGTGTTATCTAGGTTACATACAGTAGTAGACTTAGGACTTAGATACTCCCAAGACTTGTCGTTTACAGAACAGGTATTAAAACAGACCTCCAAGACTCAACGTCTAATAGGTTACATAACTCGAAACCTTTACAACAATGAGTCACATATTCTAATGTAAAAAGTTTGTACTCGACCTCTTCTAGAATATTGCACGTTTATTCTTAGCAGTGCGCGCATAAAGGATAAATTAAGGCTGGAATCAGTACAGAGACGATTTACACTTCGTATTCTTGGAGTTGATTGTACCTTAACTTATAATTCTAGATGTAACAAACTTGGGCCAGACCCTTTATGGAGGAGGAGACTCAAATTAAATCTTATGTTTTTCTTCAAACTACTTCATAAACTATCGTTTGCATCCAATCACGTGATTCAATATGCAGAAACCTCTCATTATGACATCCGTAATTCCTTGGCACTAGTGAAACAAACTCATTCTAAATCATCTCTTTATATGAATTACTTCACCTGTAAATTTTTTAGAGTATGGAATAACCTACCACAATCTATCCGCACGATAAAATCACTCCCATTATTTGTTCGCTGCATCGATGCATACTGCTCCTCTGAAAATGCATTGAATGGTCTAGCACCTGCAAGTGTATCTCATTCTACAAGTGATATTTTAGGAACTTTAAATGTTTAGCCATCTTTATTAGTGAATCCCCTAAGTAAAACCACCGACTTGCTGTCAATATGTTAACACCGTCCCTAGCAAGTTTAACTAATTTGAATAACATAAACAGTATATCACTGTGTCACATGACACACGCATCTAGGTAGACCTGATTCATATATTTTGGCAATTACCGCTTTGTTGTTTAGTGCTCTCTGTTTTCGTTTTAATTTCTCTAGTTGTCGATAATTATCATTAATTCGATCTGGCACAGGGAATGACCTTAATTACACCGTTCATAAATCAACGGGCTGTCCATTTAAGAAATATTAAAAATTCCCAGCTGATGCATTGGATCGCTGTAATACATGTACTACCTAAACAATTACTGAACTAGTATACTTAAAACTTTCTTCTATCCCATGTTTGTTCTGTGTATCTAATGTTACTATTTATATCAAATTGATCATGCCTGTAAACTGGCGTGAATTCTGTATTTATTATTTTCAGAACATAAATTATTATTAAATAAATAGCTGATATTCTTTTGTAGTTCATAGATGTAATGTCGGATAGGACGTCTATATTTTTTCTCATCTTTTCTGTTAAAATTTAGAGGCAGTTTTCCGTATGCTTAAAGAAACAAACAACCCTAGTTGAATATCGTGAAGTACTTTTCTATATTCATAAGTATTATAATATATGCATTAGACCAACTACTAGTTTGTAATCTGGACTAAGTTTTGCCGTTCGCGTTTACATTTCAGCATACTTACTCCAAAGAAATTATATGTAGCATGAGGAATAACCATGTTATGCTTGTCTTTCAAACAGGTGTATTCAAAACACCAGGTGGTCAATGTATAATAAAGTCAGACATAACAAATGCTATGTAGCTATATTCGTTTTAAAAAAAAGACATATTACATTGAAAAATAATGTAATTTATATGGCTTCAGTGTTTCATTGAAAGATCATTAGGTGTAAAAGTATAATTTTAAAGGTAAAAGCCATGTGAAATTAATGGTTTTTGTTATCTTAAAATTATTTCATCTTTGTATATTGTTATATATAACCCAGCAAGTCTCAGAAACAGTTTTTTTGTTTTAAAAGTTTGGCAGGGGTTAACAGAAAACTAGATATGCCCATTTAAGTGATCTAAACTACAAATTAAACAGTTTCATCCGAAACATTCTAGACTAACAGTAATCATGAGTTAACTGATGATTAAATGCAATACGTATTTCTGAGGTTTTAATGAGAAGTTATGACTAACGGAGGTCAGTTATACCGTAAATGAGGTAGGTGTTACTGTCAGAAATAGATAATAATAGCAAAATATCATGAACTGGTTGACGTTGGAAATGTAAATCATTGGATATCCACTAAGTAGTTTTAAGCCAAGAGCTATCTACTAAACCTGTAGATCTAGGTTTTGATCCCTGGAGCAGTCATCGATGTAGATATTTAGGAAGTTTTGGACGACGGTAATAGTGTTGTCTACTGTGTACCTTTTCAACTACGTTTTTTAGAGGAAAAGTATTTGATCTCTAAAGCCTTCGGGGAAATTCGAAAATATATCAAAGACTTATCTAAGAATGAATTTTTTGAATGTTTAGTAAAGAAGCTGTGATTTAAGCAGGGGTGAATAAATCCATTAGTTAGGCAGATATTGGTGATAGATAAAATTTATATTAGGAATTGAAAAAGGTTGAAGATGTTTTCTGTCGGTCTTTAAACCCATACCACCATTGTGTAGCACTCACGAAAGGATTCAAAGTTCAGTTGTTCACACTGGTTTCATATCTTAAGTAAAGATGGAACAACTAATCAATGTCACCTGATAACTAAAATTTTCTCACTCTATGATGAATACCTACGGAAATTTGAATTTCTTGAAGAATGTTATTTTTTAAAGCAAAGATGAATGGTGGCTTGCCGTGGAATCTAGGACGCAAGTTTCGTCCTATTTGGAACTAGTCAGCTGGATGTACCTGCATCTCAGAACCGATGTTCACCATGGGACTTGAACATCATTTGCAGTTCTAAACAACAATGGGAGGATACAAGCAAAC